ACGTAACAAAAATTGTAAACCTGCTCTGACCCACTGCTCTGCTCTGCTCTGCTCTGAATTGCTTTTATTCTATACAGTATGTTGCGGCGTGAATTTCACGTGGCAACTTAGTGACATGTTTTTCACGCCGCAACAAGATTGTCACGCGCTATATAGCGACGTGTTCTTTAAGGTGGCAAAATTTTGGCAGTGACGTGATTTGGTGGGTAGCGGCGTGGCTTTCACGTGGCAAAACCTAACTTATTTTATAGTGAATAATATGACCACGAATAATATGACCACCAACTTAATAGCTAACCACTGTAATTGTTGTTTGCATTAACTTTCCTTTGGCGAGGTCCGTTTGTGGATACAATTCTTCAATTTTATTTGTTTGTAAATTCAAGGGTTCTTGTTGGTTGTTGGTGACTGTGTCAATATCTAAAGTGCCATTGAGCTGATTATTTTTCTGCACTTTATAACTTTTGTTAAATTGTATATCAACATAATGAATTTGAATCTATCTTTTACCTTAAGAGTAGAATAACACTTTAAAATCTATTTTGTACCTTTATAATATAGTCACTTATAAAAATTGTTTGCAACATATTAAATTTGGAAATTATTTTCTTCGCTGCTTTTAAGCTCCTTAAACCACTGCATGATTTAAATCAAGAGAAAATCATCAATGTGCACTACTATCAATGTGATCTTAAGTGACTTTTAAGCTCCTTGTTCTGTGATTTTATTTAATATAAAGTGTTGTCAAATACTGACTATGGCGGTGCAGAAACGTTATAACCTACCAGAATTAGAATAAACTCTTATTTTACACTATATGTGAAGTAGAAACTTTGTAATATGCCTTCTATTAACAACTTAAGTATTAACCAATTAAATAGAGTTTAATATTTCCACTTTAAGAAGAAAAAAACCATCAATATTTAACTTTTAATTTTCATGTAGAATGGACAATCCACTTCCCCCTGTTAGTAGAGATTTGTGCAGTGGAAAACAGTGCTCACAATATTAACGTTATGTGTTTTAGCTATTATACATCATAGAATAAACACTAAAGAACTTAAGACAAAACTAATACATGTCTCAAAGGAAGCCTTTTGCAATTATTAAACAGTGGAGAAATAAGATGCTTAGTTGGTTGTGTATCTTCTATTGCTTCGTCATATTCTAAAGAATATGTCTATGTCTGCTCAATGGTATGACCCAATTCATTAGAGGATTGAATATGGATTCAAATACCGCATCTATACAACAAATAATGCATTTATCACGTAGATTAATAATAGTGACAAATGCGCGAAGATTCTACATGAATTACCAGAGAAAAATCAAGACCTAAATAACTTGAGCTTAAGGCTTCCACGATCTACACAAAGACATGTTGCGGTTTTTTTTATCAAATCAGCAGTAACAACTTTATGTTGCAGCTTGTTTATCAAATCGACAGTAACAGATTCATCCTGCATTTATATCACCATTTATGAGTTTTCACCAAAACGATCCTACATCTATTTATGTTTACCAATGTTAAAGATAATGATTTATTGAAATAACACAACAATTTCTTCTATTGAGGAGAAAACAAACAAAATATAATATATTTTTCCAGGCACAAATTCATCATAATTAAAAGTGATCCAAAATAAATCCTCAAGGGTAGTTTTCTACCTATTTATACATGCCAGGGGTGAGCATCAACAATTCTCCTCGGCATGGAAGAAAGTATTCATTCATTGAGCTTAGGGTGAGACTTTGCCTCTTCATAATTCTCCATATTAGCTTCGTAAACAACAGAAATTACACAGATTCAGTGCAGTTAAACCAATAGTCAGAAGAATCCAATGTAATCATAAATATATATTGTTAATCTGGTATAGCATTACAGAGAAGCAACCCAACTTATACAAAACAGAACAATCATGTAAACAAAGCATCCCAACTTCTACAGACAGAACAATCATGTAAACAAAGCAACCCAATTAACGGTATCAACATGTCAGTGTCAGTGTTCATACATGTAAAAATCAACATATAATCATCAAATGATCAAATTTGAATTACCTGCAAGAGTTGTTCTAGCAGTGGCCAATTTATACTTTTGAACATTTAAACTCAACCTTCACTAAGTATAACAGACAAAATAAAATCAACACATACGTCATTTGAGAGTAACCCAAAAAGAACCATTTTCAGTGTTGCGCTCGAACATACTGGTGAGTTTGTTGAGAAATGAATCTAATTCTAGAAAAACTTAATACAATATAATAATTAGGATTAGAATGATTCAAAACATTCATGAATACATTAATCGACTGAAATAAGACGATGGCTTTTATAGTTGAGTCAACAATGTAATTTTTCTTATATCGAATTAGAACATAGATCAGAGTCGACGGTAAAGATACATAGATTAGAGAAGGCGTGACAAAGTTTTCGACGGAGGACTTGATCTTGATTAGAGGGAGAAAAGCAGCAACGAAGAATAAAGGGATGGAGATTGCAGAGGGTAGTTGAGGTAATGGTTTAAAGTTGTGTTGGTTGAACAAAGAGAGAAAATTTGAAGATCCGGAAGAAATTGAGAGAGAGAGAGAAAGAAACATTTATTGAAATTGATGATCAATATGAGAAGTAATGAGATTTTCTATTATCCAACTAAATGATTTTTGTTTTTCCAAGTTTTCACATGTTGTTTTGAAATTTAATAGACACTTCCATATTTAATATTTAATTAGAGATTAAAATCAATATATAATAAAATAAAATGAAAATTAGAGTAAAAAAATATATGAGTGATACATAAGCAACATTAAATATTAAATGAATTTAACTAAAGTAAGCATGGAATAATACATTTTAATACGTGGAATTAGAAAAGTTTTAACATAAAATCATAAAATTATAGTTGGTTTTTCTAAATACTTTACATTTTATATATTTATATATTTATAATAGACAGAGAAAAGTTAGTTTAAGATCATAAATGACAATCACACCGTATGTATATACAGTTAGACATACCTTTTGTTTTTCTTTTAATAATTTTCTTTTGCCTTAGTTTTTGTGCAATGGTAAAAATAGTTTGAAAAGATTATAGGCGTAGATAAGATTAGGGGTGTTGGTGATGTGGTTTGGACGGTTTTGAAACAAAAAATTATTTAAATAGCAAGAGTAAAAAATATGTGGTTTGGTTTGATTTGATTCGTTTTTAAAAATAAATCCGAACCAAATCAAACCAAGTTAATGCGGTTTGGATTGGCTCGGTTGAATTGATTTTTTACAAAAAGAAATATTAAGCTATACATATAAATATAGAGGGAAATATAATTTTGCGTTTAATTGTTCATATATTACTATAAAAAAATTATAATTATCAAAATAAGTTTATAATTTGATACATAAAAATGACGTATTATAATTTTATCTAAATCTAAAGAATAATGATATAGACAAAATTGCATTCTTAATTAAATATCATACAAAAAATACGATAAAATATATTTTGTGAAAATAATATTCATAAATGAATAATATTTTATTTTTTTATTATTTATATATTAAAATAAATTATAATACAAAGTATGATAAAATATACACATAATACATGTTGATTTCTCTAAAAAATTAAAGAAATATATATTGGTTAGTAAGATTTTATAACATAATGCGGTTTTATTTGGTTTGGTTCGGTTTGTAAAATACAAACTGCAAACTGAACCGCACGCGGTTCCGTGAGAAAATGACTCAAACACATCCGAATCAAAATGCGGTTTTTTGCGATTTCGGTTTGGTTCGGTTTGATTTTATGGTTTTCTATTGGACCGATTTGGTTTTGAACATCCCTAGATAAGACTATATATAATAGTTTACATATTTACACCATTTTTTTTCATTTTTATTTTATATTATCTTTTTTTTTTCTACTTAATAATTTAATATACATTTAACTTTTACTCACTACAATGATTTTGTTTAATAAAGTTCAACACCTTATCACACCACTCTTACTTTATATTTTTATTTTCTTTTATATTTTTATTTTTATGATTTTATATTAATATTAATTATAGATTGAAGTAAAATTAAAATAATTAATAGTTAAATAATTTTTTTTCTAATTTAATAATTTATTTGAATCTTTTTAATTTTATATTTTTAATTTATTTGAATTTTTTAATTTTATAGGGATAATCATTATTAAAACAAATAAAAGTGAACGAAATAAGAGTTTATTGGAGGTTAAATAGAAAAAATAAAGAGAAAAAATAGATTTTTTTGTGTGTTCGAATAAGATGAACCAAATCTCTATTTATAGACAAAAAATGATGAATTTTGTTGAAAATAAAAATAAATAAAAAATAAATTTATTATAAAATAATTGATTCCAAATAATTAAAGTGAATTAAAAATTTAAACAATCACAACAACCAATAAAATTTTACAAAATATTATATATAATATTTCACTCCCTCCTTATTCAATAAATTGAATATTTTTAACACATTAATTTACCTCACTTTTAATTCTTTATTCAACATCTTATTACACATATTTAACTATTGAATAAATTTTTCAGCAGTTGAATTATATATAGTCTAAGGTGTAGAGAATTTTAGTGTAAGATAACTCATCTCATTATTGTATTATGGTTACATGGTTTACGATTAATTAGGTGCACATGCACATCCAATTAGCCAAAAACCAGAGACTAGTCAGCAGAGATCTAGTAATAGCAGACATCACACATACCCCTCTCTCTCTCTCTCTCTCAAATTGCAATGCAGCTTCTCTCTCTCAAATTGCAATACAGCTTGCATTCCAAGTCAATGGTACCACCAACAAGTCTGTGAACTACAATGTCTTTTACTGATATATCACAATCAAGGACAACTTAGTAAATCCATATCATCGCTCTTGTTTCTATTATAAATAATTGATCCTCCTATCCGTGACGAGTACATCCTTCTTCTTCTATCATTATTATTTTCAAAAGATAAGGTCCCATGAAAATGATACATTTCTTCCCTCTCTTTTCACTTGCAGCTCTAACCATATCCATCATCTCCTCCAACGCTGCATGGCCAGCAGCCACCGTTCCTGCGCCTGTATCACCACCACTACCACCAGCCGCTCAAGAGTTCCTAGACTCTCACAACAAAGCAAGAGCCGAAGTCGGAGTTGCGCCACTCCAATGGAGCGACAAGCTAGCGAAAGACACAAGCTTACTAGTCCGTTACCAGAGAAACAAAATGGGATGCGATTTCGCGAACTTAACGACAAGCAAATACGGCGGTAACCAGCTCTGGGCGGGTTCGGCGGCGGTGACGCCGAGCAAAGCGGTGGAGGAGTGGGTGAAGGAGAAAGATTTCTACATACATGCAAACAACTCTTGCGTTGCGAACCATGAGTGTGGTGTTTATACGCAGGTTGTGTGGAAGAATTCGGTGCAACTTGGGTGTTCACAAGCTACTTGTAGTGTTAAGGAGAAAGCTAGTTTGACGATTTGTTTCTATGATCCACCGGGTAATGTCATAGGGGAGACTCCATTTTGATTCAGTTTCAAGTAATGTTTATTAGTTATTACTATCTGTTTCTTGAATTAGAATGTGTAACTTTCTAAGTGTGTGCACAATGTGCTAAGAGAGGTTAATATTTCATTATGCTTAATTAATTTAGCGTTATCTCTTGTTATGGTTGTTAATTGAGATGGATCTTTTGTTATGTGCATTTTATTAGATGTAGTTTATACTTATTTTTAATGAAAATATGATAATTGTATAATTTTCTTTTACACATATAATTTTTTCTTATTTTTATTTATTAAAAATATTTAAATATATTTATCATATTTTTATTAGAGAAAAGTACGAACATTTATGAAATTATATTTAAATATTTTCCATATATAAATTAGTTTATGGCTTTCATTTTTTTTTTTAATATGATGGAGTAGTTTAGAAGAATAGACAAGGTAGACCATGTTAATGAAATTGGTCTTAGTTTTTTTTTATGGTCAGACTTGGACCGTCACAGCTGGTTCGAACTGGATTTGAGTGAGATGGGAAGGGGATACCTGCAAGACACTCTGATGCTAAAATGAGAGACGGAATGGGCAGGCAAAAAGTATATAGGTGTGTAATAGATGAATACCTAACCCTCTTGGAACAAAGGGTATTTATAGCCCCCAGCGCTGGGCCAATGTCCCCTCATTGGGCCGATCAGAACTGGTCCAATAAAGGAACTTTCAGGTTCTACGTGTGTAGTGGGGACCCGCACGTGGTCCCCTTCCTGAGTGGTGCTCTGCGAAGAATGAGGAAGACGCGGTCTTTTCGGGACTTTAAGAATCCCATGGTGTTCGGAGGGGACAAAATCTGCCCTACAGAGAGGATGCTCGAGGAAGACTCGAGCTGGAGTGTCCTTTGGTCGGGGACGCTCCTCGTTGTGGGTAACAGCGGGCGTTGCCGCTATGGTCTACGGTCGGGCATGCTCGGGACGACTTGATCGTGAGCGTTCCTCAAGGAACTTCCTGGATCTGGGCCTTTGTTTGCACTTTGGACCAAGGCGGGCCCAGTCCAGAACAATTTTTTTGTGTGGTGGAAATTGGTTTTGTTTTTAGTTTTGTTTTATATACGAGGCAGTTATAGGTTTGAAAGTATATGAATTTTGTTTGGAAATCTAGTGTTCTAGCAGTGAAATGTTTGTTACCATGAGATAAGATTCAGCCTATTAAAAATTTATTTAGTGTATACTAGCAAGTGATATTTTTACGGCTTTTAGATTGTGTTTAAGGTTTATGTTAGTTAGTTATAATTGTGTTTGTTTTTCTTTATTTCATTGATAGAGAGATATCGAGATGCACAACATAAATGATTTAAAAAAAACTATATTTTGAAGTCTAAATCACACATTTAGATTGTGCATTTTGGATATGTTTATACTTTAAAAAAACAAAGATAATGTTAGACACGTTATGATTGATCAATCTTAATTTATGATTAACTAAACAATTGAGTTTGAGTGGACATGAGTTCTGATTTACTGTTTTGAAACGAACTCTAGATTACTAGGTCATTCTTTTTAGAACTAGAGTGCAAAAAAAAAAAACTAAAAATTTGTATAGATTAAATTGATCTAACATTTATATCGCTAAATGTACCAACAACGATTTGTATGATTTATAGTACTTCGAAACTTGTATAAATTAATGTCATTTGTTAATTATTACATGCAGATCATTTATGTCATTGACGGAGAGACATCGAAATGCACAACGTCAATAATTTAAAAATCTTATATTTTCAAATTATACATTCAGATTGTGCGTTTCGGATATGTCTATGACTTTAAAAAAACAAAGATAATTTTTTACATGTTATGATTGGTCAATTTTGATGTATGATTAACCAAGCAATTAGGTTCAAGTGGACAAGAGTTCTGATTTACTACATTTCGGCACAAGTTATGGATTACTAGGACTTCATTCTCCTGGGATTCAAAGTGAAAAAAAACTAAAAATTTGTATAGATTAAATTGAACTAATATTTTGTATCTCTAAATGTACCAACAATAATTTACATGGTTTATAGTACTTCGAAACTTGTATAAATTGTTGCCATTTGTTGATTATTACATGTAGGTCATTTATGTTGTAGAAATAAAAAGTTCAACCACATTACAACTTTTTTTTGTTGTAAAAGTTTGACAATAATATTAATTATGTCCAAAATAATAATGTGTGAGACAAAGAACAATGTCAAATAATATAAACAAATCAAAAAGTAAGAGGAAGTCAAAAGACGAGTACACAAAGAGTTTGTTATAAAACCAATCTACTATGATAAAGAGATTAGTGTTTGATTTACTATATTTTCAAAATAGTCTCACAAGTTCCTAAAAACAAAGTTTATTTTCTACCTAAGTCTTTTCCAATCTTTTCAACTTTCTCTATATATGAATCAAAAAACTCAAAGTGTTTAGAAATGTTTCTCAAACCCTTAGATATCTCCAAAAGGAATGTCAAATTCCAAGAATACATTCTTAGAAAAATCTAACCAGGTCTCTCTAAGTTTCTCCTTAGATACCTCTAAAAGTCAGTCGAATTCCTATTATATCATCCTAGAAAATTTTACAACTGACTTTCTAACTAGGATTACACCTTGTATGCATGTCTTTTACTCTAACTAATAAAAGATAGACAATCATATTTTAATATATCCTAAAACCCTAATGGATCAGACATCTAAGCTTGGTCCGCAAACCATCTTAAGCACCCATAGGCCAATCGAATAATTGACTAGCCAACTCATTACCATTTGTCGAGTCAACCATTAGTAGTTGGTCGAGTCATCTTGTTGACCGTTAACCAAGTCTATCGTTGACTTTTTACCAAAGTTCTCCCTGTCATTACTTGAATTTTTAAGACATATTTTTCTAAATCCCCACCTTGGCTCAAAACCAACAGTGATGTTAATTTACTCATCAAGCACATTGGTTCTCTCTCTAAAGTTGAATCACTATTCAACAACTTCGATGAAGTCCAAGCCACACTTGAACCATGATCTTTTCCACTTGCATCCATGTACACCTAACCACTTTTTTTCTACTTACGTATATAGCAAGCTCAAAAGTATGATTCTTCAATCATTTGACTCTCTTTTCTTTCGAATGTCTCCCTCAAGGTCCATGTTTCTAAGTTTTGCAACCTTCTAACCACATTAAAAGCATAATAACCAAGACAAGCATAATTATATTTCTGAAATGGTACAATCTCTATCCTTACCTTATTACGATAATCATAAACCATTGTAAAATTTTCTTCATTAGAATTAGATTTAGGAGCATTCACATCCTTCTCATCCATAATCTCCCTAACAAGAACCTCCACCTTAAATTGAGTCTTATCCATCATAGTTTATAATATCTTCATCTTCAAGTATTTACTTTTTCTCCTCTCAAGAGTCTCACTAAAAGTAATACACTTGTTTATGATGAAATTTGATCCCCAAGCTTCCATTTCCCACAATTTATACCCTTCACCCATTCTGGATAACCATTAAAGGCACCCTTCATAACCTTACCATTAAGTTGAACTATCTTTATTTGTGAAAACGAAAAAGCTTTGAAGACTTTCAAATTAAATTAGTATACTAGTTTTTTACGCCAAACCTCCATAAGTGATTGGAAGGTTATCTCTATGAATGGACATTTGATGATCAGATAAACTACTTTGCCACCAACCTTACCCTATAAACTCTCTAGAAACTCAACTCCTGACACCATGTCAAAAGTCCTGACACCGTGTCAAAATTCGTCAAATGCATCTTTATCCCTTATTTCTTTCAAAACGGATTAAATTGTACTTAAACAACATTCAGGCATTTAATATACCTTAACCTCAAATCCTATAACTTATTATTGTCATGAAAGTATTTACTAGTTGATGATGCATAAATTATAACAATGAAATCATCTATAAAATATATAACCCACATATTTTAAACCCTTTAGCCATGACCAATCCATCTTGCAAAATTTTCAACACATCATATTCAACTCTAATGCAACAACGTAGCTAAAAAAAAGGACATGCTTATGGACAACAAATTTCTCCTAAGCTTAAGAACATGCCTCACACTACGTAGAAGGAAATCACGATCATCTAACATTTTAAGTCTGGTCATACCAACACCATGATCGTTGCAAGCCTATTTGTTACATAGTTGAAGACTCCACCATCTTCCAGCTTCAAAGTCTCAAAGTATTATTTTCTTGGACACATGTGAAAAAAAAACATCCCGAACAATGACCCAACCCTTTTCAATTTCTAAACTTGTCACCACTAGTGAAACAAGACTCTCATAACCATACTAATCTTCTCTTGAGTAAACTACAATCTAAATAGAATCCTCATTGTCCTCGCTCTGGGGAAATTTTTCTTAAAGTGCCCGGATTTCTTAAAAGTAAATAATTTAAACTTTAACTTACCAAACCTCCTATGTTTGGACTTCCCCTACTACAAATCACATCTCTTGAGACAATCAAGCCTTCACCACAATTGTGAATCTTCAAATATTTTGTCTTTGAAAATTCCTTGGATCTCACAGTCGTTTGAACTTCATTCAAACTTTAAGTATTTTTCTTACCATAAAGAAGGACATTCGTGAAGTTCTTAAAGGACTTAGTCAATGATTTTAAAAGAGTAGATATGTGTCCTCATCATTATTTTTCACCTCAATATTCTCCAAATCATCAACGATTTTGTGAAATTTGGTCAATTGTTCCACTATGGATTTGTTGTCTACCATTCAAAATAGTAGAGTTGTTGTTTCAAATACAACCAGTGGTCCAAATACTTCCTCACATCTTTGATTCACTATAATTTTAAAAGTTATTACGAAAGATTACAAATGATTTACAAGAAAATAGTCTCCTAAGTTCCCAAAAAGAAGTCTTATTTTCTATCTAAGTCTTTCTCAATCAAACAAACTCAAATCGTTTATAAGTGTTTCTCGATCCTCTTAGATACCTCTAAAGATATGTCAGATTCCATGAATACAATCCTAACAATTTTTATGTTTGTCTCTCTAACTAGGATTACACATTTTCTCTCTATTTCACTCTTACTAACAAAAGTGATATAACAAAAGTGATATAGAATCATATTCATAATATCCTAAAACTCTAATTGGCCAAATATCTAAGTCTGATTCACAAACCATCTAAACTAACCCATGGGCCAACTGGACAATTGACTAGCCAACCCATTAACCGTTGACCTAATCAAATGTTAATCGTTGATCCACTCACCCATTAATAAATGTTGACTTTTTGTTCAAAGTCGATCATATCGAAAAATTTGATGATCAGAGTATGTGTTTAACTTCATATTTATAAGGGTGATGGAACCCCGATTAAGACCTCTAAGGCCGCCATCAAATTCATATAGTAATGGTTAATGTGTCATTCTGAGATGGGCAGGAAGATTGAGGCAATGAGTGATCCTCTATATCTTTCGCTAGTGCGATAATATTAGGGTTAATAGTTGCTCATGAGTTGGGATCATACATTAAGTTGTGGGATTCGAAATTGAGCCATAGGCCAGGCCTATTCAGGGCAGGTTTGCAGTCTTAGCTCTTATGTTAGTCCATAGTCCCCAAACATAAAGTATGTAAAGATGAAATGTTTTAGAGTATATGTCGGTCTACCGGTCCCTCAAAAACGGGGCTTGTAATTGTGAGTTGTTTAAAAATATTTAAAGATGCTTAAGAGTATTATGTCAATCCAATAACTTCTTAAGCATGAGGCATGTAAGGTTAAGGTAAGACAATTATGTCAGTTCAGATTTGCATGATTTAACCTGAAGAATAAAACAATGTCTTCTTGTGAGTGTTACTATTAGATTTGTTCATCCATGATCTATTACTGTTGTTATGTTTTATCTTTTTTTCTTCTATTTATACTTATATCATGTGTCACTCTTCTATGAATGTTATCTGATCCAGAAAGAATCAAAACTGACAAAAGAGAATGACTTTTGTCTTTAAGCTAGCATAAACTTCCAACAGGTTAGACGATCACAAAACATACTACATGTGTGCACAGTCCTGTTGTCAAATGTCAACTGATATATCAGAAAATTATTTACCTTCTTCACAACACAATCTTACAACTTCAATCTACTTTTGTACACAAAAATTACATAGAGCAAACAATGTAAAATCATTTCCTCATTAATAAGTAAAACTATCAAGTACTATTTTAGAACATCCTTAGATATAAGATATCTGAAATTAAAGTTATGTGGAATCCATTCTATGCACTTCTTGGATCTTGCAAGTTGACATTTCTTAACTCTTCTCCTTAGTGATTCCGGTAGAGATTCTAGGATCATGTCCATAACACCACTAGGACACAAATCTGAGTCCTTCGCGAATGTTTCGATAAGCTTTGGTAGAAGTATCCTTTGGTCCTTGCGTACGCCTAATGTAGCTCGAATGTACTCGTCCCTCGCTACTTCTAGATCTTGAAACACCCTCTTTGGTGCATATACGCGAACCTGTCATAGTTCGTTAGAAGATTTTTATTAGACGTCAGTGTAAAACTAGTTTATGCTCGTAGTTCATATCTTTTTAATCGAAAAATGAATATGCTAAAAATGTTTTAGAAGAATACCGCGGGATCAGAATGGTTTCCGGAACAAAGAGCAAAGTGTGAAAGAGGCTCGAGATGCTTCAATGCATATGCTTGTCTTCCGTCTCCGGTTTTGAATTTTGTCTTCGAAGAAAAAAATAAACGTAGCCACTACATAGACGAGACGAGTTCGAACATGTTACCATGTCAGTCACTAGTGTATAAGATGTTATTTATAAAAAAGATCTGTGTGTTGGATTATAGGATTCACCTGTCCGGGGCGAGACATTCGACACCGAAGTATAGTATTTTGTATCGTGTCTGCGCTAACTATATAACCTCCAACATTATATGCAGCCTGCAAAGACAAAGCAAGAAGATATATCACATACTAGACTTTGAAGAGTTTAATTTCTTAAGACTTAAGCTATTTCTAAAAGTGCTTTTTTACCTTTAGAAGAAGAAAGACTCTTTTCATACTGTTTTGTGGAATGCCATAAGCCAAAAATGCCTATAAGAAACCAAATAACAGATTAGAAAACCAACTAATCAAATTCGACAGATGCATGAAAAAGATATTATAGAGAAACTTTTTCAGTTACATGCATCACTAAAGCATTGTGTATGTTGATCCAGAAAGCTAACTTCTCGTCGTGCTCTAAATTTCCAGGATCTATTTCTTCTAATCGAGAAATAAGCGACCTGATACAACCAAAAAAAATGAATATCAGCGTTAGATTGAACGAACGAACGTTTATATCATACAGATCATTTGTGCCAATTTTTAAGTAAATCTAATTTCACATTTAAGAGACTCACTTGTAATTTTGGAGCAACTTTTTTGTATCACCCGATTTCTGATTCTCTTTATAAATCCATGGTATTTCAACCATGGTGCTGTATGGTCCACTAAACTCCTTGAGTCCTTCAACATGGAAAGGATTGTCTAACCTTACATCGAAAGAGGAGTTATTATTCTTGAACCTTGGGCTCCAAGTATCGCCTTGATCGCCAATAGAGAAGTTGCTCGTTGAGGACAACGATGAAATGGGAGATGAAAGGCCTGGATGTATCATAGGAGGGTCTGCAAGCTTGCAATATAGAGCTGATATGCATTTGACCATATCCTCAGAAAGTTTGTTAGGTTCCATTGGAATATGATCGGATATTCGCGTACCGAGATGTTCGGCAAGACTTATTATATTTGATGAAGAGCTTTCAACATACTGCATAGAAATAAGTGATAGTCAAAATCCAAACAAGGCCTCAAGACAAATCAATGTCTTGGATTGACTTATTTAAGCTTATCTACCAGTATTAACGCTCTTCTACATGTCCACTAGGCGTTCTTTGACTTATGTATATCTATAAAATCTCGAGGATAACGTATTGAAAACAACTTATAACTAACATGAAAACAGTTTGACTTAACAGAATTTCATGAGACTAGATTTACCTCCATCATGGACAATGGTTGCGAATGACAGGCGCGCAAAGCTTTGGTTAAAGACTCTTCTGTAGGAGATGCTCTTGTAAATGCTGTACAATGCGATAATGAAGAATGACAACGATAAACACCCGAATCTAAATGTTTTTCTTTCCCCAAATTCTCCATTTCATATCTACTATGTTCCATTTGCAGATTCTCAAGCTCATCATGGTCATTTTTGGTTAAGACCTCAAGCATAGAAGATTTAACAAATGGTTCTTGAGGTGTTGCTGGAGAATGTTTTATAGTTTCTTCCTTGGTAAACGGAGATACAGAAGGTAATTTTTGATCGAAAGCTTTTCGGTACAATGAGAGAAGATGTTGTTCCAAATACACAACTTCCAACTCCAACACTGCAATTTCCTTAATCAATTCTGTTGCTGGCTGCATAACAAAAATAACAAACAAAAGCTTAAGACAATGTAAATGTATAGTTCCCAAGTTCATAAGACGTGTCGCGCTACCTTAGGCACCATCTTTTCATTTGAATTGACAAGTAATGAAGATCTGTATCCGAGTGCTTTTTCTAACGTGCATCTAACCTCAAACTGATCTTGTAATCTTCTCTCTAGCTGTAGAATCTGCCACAAGAGCATGGCCAAAAGTCAGACTTAGTGGATGCAAAAAGTCTTTAGATATTGATGAATGCAATGCACCAATCAGAAAAAGACAAACAAAAGAACATGACATGATTGCAAGAAGAGATGCATCATAAGAACTATGAGGAGCAGTTCTGCTATTGTACCTCTTGTTTCATAGCACTATGGACTTCACTTGTAGGGGTTGGTTTATTCTTAGCTTTAACATAATCGGTGGTGACGTAGGCCATATCCTAGAACCAAAATCAAACCAATACTTGAGGAAAATGAGACTTGTTTTGCATGTGGAGACTATAGGGAATGATACCAATATGGACCATTAATGTCACAACATTATGGTTGAGACTAATGACATCAATCATATACTTTTGAAAAAGAAAATACACGACACCGACATGTCAATACCAGTAACAATTTATGAAAGTAGAAGTAATTGAATGTAATCGTGTTTGTGTCTAACACTCACATGTGTAAGACACCAAACACGCTTTCGATTTAAAACTCTGGTATGAAATAGTGCCTTCAATTCTAAGATTATATAAAATAAAAAGAAATCATGATCATTTCATAATGAAAACAAAAATAGAGTAACTGATTATACCATCTTCATTCTGTCTGAGGCCTCAACTTGATTATCTGGATTTTCTCCACCTTTTTCAAGTTCCATATCTGAGACCACAAAAACCAAAGCTATTCACAAAAAAACATACAAAATTCACAAAACAACATAGTGACAAAAGATTCACCATCCTACCTAGGAACTTCAGAGCAGAGAACTCAGATGAATGACACAAAAAAGCCTCTAGAATCAAACTCAAATACTTGACAAGTTCCTTTTCATTTCAGAAAAGCATAGTTTCCTTCCAGGAACTATCCTCAAAGTGATAATTTTCTGCTTATGCTCAATCTTTATCACATGAAGAAGAATGTGAAGAAAAGACTAGTTACTCTTTTTTACCAAATGAGCCTTCTCTTAGAAGAATCTCCCCTCAAGTTTAGTGTTCTTACTTCTTTCTATAACCTTTGTAAAGGATGAACTTTTTGCATTTTACATGAAAAGAAGTTCTTAGAGAGAAACCCTTTAAGGCTTTAACACAAGAGATAAATCTTTATAGAATAATAACTTTGACAATTGTGAAAGAAGTGCAAATGTCAAAACATAAATAAAAAAATAAAATGAAATAAACAAGTCTCACTCTAAGTAAAGTCTATAGAAAAACAAAATAAATAGTGGGTGGACCCTTAATTGCTTAGTAGAAAAATGTACAATTTAATAGCTAACTATATATTTTTCAATATTCTCTTCTCTCATTAGGAAGCAAGTGAGGGTTGGTGACCCTTTTGTCTCATTTTGCATCTACCATTTTATACTTAGAAACTAAGCCATTTTATTTGACGAAAAAAGAAAGAGGACAAAAATATTAATGTGACAATAATTGAATAGTTCTTTATTCTTAGCTCAAAAGATACATACATTATGATTCATTGTAAGCAATCTTTCTATATTGTTATAGAAGTCTCAAGTAAAAAAAAAACTGATATTTTTGTGGTTTTTTACTTTTAAGGTCAATAGTGTTATTAGACTAAAGTTTTTGTGTTATGTAAAGAACAATAATGAGAAAACAAGTGACTAAGTAACAAAATGGTAGTGTAAGAAAGAAAAGCAAGGATTTACCTAAAAAGTGATGAAAGTTAAGAGGAAAAGGGCATTGGATACTTGAAAGGAATAGAGGTTTTGTGGGGTTCTCTTTGTCAAAATGGCTTTTTTTTAAAGGAGATACCTATATTGTCCTTGAGTATCAAAGAGAGTAACGTTTGTCAAAGAATCAAGAAATATAATATAGTAATGTGGAGTCACCTTTTGGTTATAACAAAAGGAAAGTGACGGGAGTGTGGTAAGGTGGATAGTTCTTTGTTATTGTCTTCATACAAAACAACCCTACTTGTAAATAAAGTTTCTTTTTTGATGCTTGCACACTTGTGTAACATAAAAAAGTGCAAGAGAGAAGCTTAAATTTAGGACTAGGTAAAAGATAAAGAACATTAACCATGGTTAATAAGAACTTTTTATTAAAAAAATAAAAAGAACTTTTTATAAAAAAAAAAAAAGATAAAAAGAACTTTTAAAAATGGAGATTATGTATAGTAACTTATGGCATTAGTGTAGGGAAAATCAATTATAACATTTGTTTTTTCCAGATTTGAAAATGTTGCTACCAATATTATCGGGTTGAATCACAGATTAGACGTTTCGCAACATTTTTAAAAAATGGTAGATTATCAACCACGACACTTGTAAGATGAATCAATGTAGTTCTATTGTACGATTACTATTGCATTATAGGTTAATCACTAGAAATACATTCTCATATGGCAAAAAAAAAAAAGTCGATTATAGTAATATTCGTCGTAATATCTAGTGAATATTAGTCGTAGTTTTTGGTTAATAGCAATCGTATCTAGCAAAAGCAATTAGAGGAAATAAGAAGGTAAATGAAAAATATAGGGATGAAACGGAGATGAGAGAAATATTTCAATTTGATTTAGAAAAATATGAGGTGGTAATGCCATAGGGAAAAAAATTAAATTCGAATGAGAGGAAAAAGAATGGAAACATAGTAAGAACTTATTAATTAATTTTTATCATTTACAGTACAAAATGTTAGAAATAGTGAAAAGAGAAAGTGGCTATGATTTCCATTAAAATTGTAAAAGTCTTAAATATAGAGTTTACCAAGTTAATATATAGTAAAATATAAATAGACAATAACACTCTTAACTTAATAATAACAAAAGTCTATTGCATATTATCGAACATTTTCATTCAAACTCGCGATGTATGAAGCATTGAGAGTTTGTCAATCAAGAATCGAAAATGTTTGATCGAATGAGTTTTTGTGGGCAAATCAATAATATGTGAAGTGGAAGAAACAAACGACAAATTAATGGTGTCTTGCTGAAAGTGATGGCGAGTGAAATAACAATCAATCTCGATGTGTTTTATACATTCATGAAAGACTGAGATATAAGCAATTTGAATGGAACTCTTATTATCATAATACATAGGAGTTGGTTCAGAAAGGGAGACAATCATATCAGAGAGTAACCAACGCAACCAAACTATTTCAGCAGTGGTGGAAGTCATCGCATGATACTCTGCTTCTGTAGATGAGCGAGAGACAATATCATGTTTTTTACTCTTCCAAGAGATGAGAGAGTCTCCAAAAATGATACAAAGCCCTGTAGTAGACTTACGATCAGTAGGATCACCATCCTAATTAGCATCAGAGTAAGCATGTAATGTTAAGGAAGAGATTAACGAAAACAAGAGACTTTGAAACTCAGTTCCTCGGAGATAACGAAAATACGTAGAACAGCTGCCCAATGTACTGTAGTAGGAAAAACAACAAATTGACTCACAACATGGACAACATCAGCAATATCAGGTATAATAATAGTAAGGTACACCAAACTTCTGACTAAAGTATGATACAAGGTGGGATCTCATATAATAACTCCATCAGAAGAAGCATATTTCACATTTAGATCAAGAGGTCTATCTGCTGCTTGAGTATCAGATAAGCGAGTTTGCTCAAGAATGTTAGCAATGTACTTTGATTGAGAAAAAAGATAGCCTCTAGGATAGTAGGCAACTTCAATCCCTAACAAATAACGAAGAGTGCCTAAATCCTTCATCTCAAATTGCTTAGATAACTGTAACTTCAACTTATTAATCCCATCAACGCCATCACCTGTAATAATCATATCATCAACATACAAGGAGAGTATAATATGACCATGAGAAGTAGACCTAACAAATAAAGCAGAGTCATGATCACTAGGGTGGAATCTAAGAGATGTAATCACAGCAGAAAACCTCGCAAACCAATCTCGTGGAGCTTTTTTCAAATCATATAGGGATTTCTTCAACTTACACTCTTCCCATTGATTATGAGAAACACCTTGAGGTGAAATCATATAAACTTCCTCAAGAAGATCACCATTCAAAAATGAATTTTTTTACATCCATTTTAATAAATATGCCACTGACTAATAGATGCAACATGAATAAGAGTCCAAATAGTGGTCATTTTGGCCACATGAGCAAAAGTTTCTTCATAATCCATATCATATTATTGAGAAAATCCCTTAGCAACAAGACGGGCTTTATATCGCTCAATTGATTCATCCGATTTAGTTTTGATCTTGTATACCCAACGAAACCCAATAACACGTTTTCCTGGTGGAAGAGGTACTAATTCCCAAGTACTTGTCTTATGCAAAGCAGCAAGTTCCTCTTCCATAGCATGTTGCCAAAGAGGATCAAGTATAGCTTCCTTATAGAAAGATAGTTCAGATAGATTATGAGTAGAGGTTAGAAAGGATGCAAAAGAATTAGAATAAGTGGAATAAACATAATCAGGCAACTTAGTAGACTTACAATCACGTGGAGGATAACAACAAGGAGGAGGGGGGGAGGAGGTGGTGGTGGTGGTGGTGTTATATGTGAAGTAGGATTAGAAATTGCAAGAGGTTGTTGGTAAGCCGTGAGAACAAGAGATACATTTGCATCTGGATTAACATTAGTATCAACCCTGCAGTTCTCAATATTACAATCACGAGAAATATCACCATCAAAGGAAAAGGATCAATATGAATAAGCTTAGACCTAGTATGAGTACGCAAATCAAAAGAAAGGGAGTAAAATGATATGTGTTCAAGAAAGAAAACATGACGAGAAACATATATTTTATTTTTATTAGGATCATAACAACGATAACCCTTTTGACCATCCCCATAACCAAGAAAACACATATTTCAGAATGAGGAGACAATTTGCTACATTTTACTTGTGGAAGAAGAACAAAACAAGTAGAACCAAAGACTTTTAAGTAAGAATAATTAGGTGTACAACCATATAAAGTTTCAAATAGAGACAAACCTGAGGTGAAGGGTGATGGAATTCTATTAATGACATGGACAGCGGTACAAATCGCTTCACCCTAAAATTCACTTGGAACTAAAGCAGAAAAAAAAGAACGAGCAGTTTCAACAATATGACAATGCTTTCTTTTATCAAAACCATTTTGTTGAGGAATATCAGTACAAGAACTCTGATGAATAGTACCATCACTAGCAAGTAACTTTAAGAATTTGTTAGAGGTATATTTTCCACCTAAATCACAACGAAAGCACTTTATAACAACATTATATTGGGTTATAACCATAGCTCGAAAAATACGATATATATCAAAAAACTCAGAGTGATATTTCATAAGATAGAACCAACAGTAACGAGTATAATCATCAATAAAGGAGACATAATATCTAGAGTTCTAGATCCACCTTTGGTAGGAACCGATGATAGACCCCACACATTAGAATGAATTAGATCAAAAGGTGAATTTGAAACATAAATACTTTTATTAAATGGCAAAGCGGAAAATTTAGTAAGTTTACAACCACAACAATAAAAAAATATCACTAGTTTTTAAATTTCCTAAAGCTCCAGTAGAACCCAAATATTTTAATCTAGACGCAGAAACATGTCCAAGCCGAGAATCCCATAAATAAAAACTAGTTGAGGACGAATTCAAACAAAATGATGATAAATCACCAATGGATGTTGAGGCAACATTATCTCGAACTTCCAGCTCATCCAAAACATATAGTTCCCCCCCATCTACGGCATGTCCCAATCTTTCTCCCGGATTATGAATCCTGCACATAACAAGATGTGGAAGAAAAAACAACTGAATAACCAGAATCACATAATTGACTAATAGGAGCAAGACTTAAAGTGAGGTTAGGAATATAATAAACACCAGATAAAGATGATTTAGTTGTTGAGACAGATCCTACACCTGATATTGGCATAGGAGTACCATCAGCAGTCAAGAGAGACACGGATGATGCAAGATTTAAAGATGCAAAAGACTTATGATCATATGACATATGATGTGACACACCAGAATCAAGAATCCATATGGAAGAAGAAATACTTGACAAGTTAGAGGAGATTAAGCCTTTAACAGATGAGGCAGACATAGCATGTGGTTGAGTGGCATGAAACTTTTTAAACTGCTCAGCAAGATCAGATACCTATGAAGTGGTCTCATATGGGTATACATGACCAATACCATGATCAGAAGGAGAAACTGTAGAAAGAGCATCAACAACAACATGGAACGATGAAGTCTTAAAATTCCTTCTCCCCGACTTCAATAATTTTGGAAATTACGCTTTCCAATGCCCCTTTGCTTTTCAAAAAGAACACTCATCAATACCAACTCTTCCTTGTGGTTTTCCTTTGTTAAAAGGAGCAGCAAAGACGGATGGAGAAGGCAATCATAATGCCTTAAACTTAAATCTCATAGTTCTTCCTTGTCATGAACACCTCCACTAGTTAATGATGAATGAACAACATTTGAACCTTCTAAAATATATAAATCATATATTTTAGACCCTTTAGCAATAATCATTTATTCACGCGAAATCTTTAACACTCCACGTTCAACTCTAGTACAATAGCCTAGATCATCAAACATATTTATATATAAAAAAATTTCGCTTGAGTTCTGGAACATACCTTACATTGTGAATAAGAAGTTCAAGATCATCAAACATTTTAAGTATGACCGTATCAATACTATGAACCTTGCAAGTCTTATTATCATCAAGGCGGACAACTCCACCTTGAACCATCTTTAAATTTTCAAAGTATTATATTCTTTGACACATGTGATAAGAGCAACCTGAATCAATGACCTAACTATATTCAGTTTCCAAACTCGATACTACTAGTACATTGGCATCCTCATAACTTTCCTCACCCAAGGCAACTGCATCTTGAACATAATCTTCATTAACCTTTCTCTCAGGATAATCCCTTTTAAAGTGATCGATTTTCTAACAATTAAAACATTTTACCTTTGACTTTTCAGGCCTCTTTGATTTGGATATCCTTTTACACTCACCTCCTTCTCTTGACACATTTAAGCCTTCACCACTATCTTCAATCTTCAAATATTTCGACTTTGAAAATTCTTTGGATTTCACTGTCGTCTGGACTTCATCCAAAGTAATAGTACCTTCCTTACCATAAAGAAAGATATCCTTAAAGTGTTCAAAGGATCTAGGTAATAAACTCAACAAGAATAAGTCCTTGTCCTCATCTTCAATCTTCACTTCAATATTCTCATGATCATTAATAATCTTGTGAAATTCTGTAAGTTTCTCAAATATGAATTTGTGCTCTACCATTCGGAATGAATAGAGTTTATGTTTCAAATACAGCCTGTGAGCCAAAGACTTTGTCATATACAATGATTCAATTTTTTCCCACATAGAAACCATAGTTTTCTCCCTGGAGACCTCTCTTAGAACTTTATCCCTGAGGCACAAGATAATGGCACTTCTAGCCTTATCCACTATTTCGGTCTTCTATACCTGTGTAAGTCCTGCATGCATCAATGTTTCACCCTTCAAAGCATCGATACACTTCTCTTGAATTAAAATTACTTGCATCTTAATTTTTCACAATCCGAAGTCGTTGTTACCCGAAAATTTCTCGATCTTCTATCTACTAACCATGAAGCTCAATACCTCTTTGCTCCACGCTCACTGCACCACTTGTTGTAAGTCTTATTGTTAATTACGATAAAACTCAATATTAATTTGTGAGACAAAGGTTAGTAGCAACCAAAGTAAATGGTATACAATAATAATAATCCATACACAAATAATATAACAGAATAAGGCGAGAAAAGATGAATTTCTATATCATTTTTTTAAGTATAAGCTTTTCATTAAGAAGAGAAAAGAGATTGGACATTAAAGGAGTGACTAATCCATTTGAAAGGTAACAAAGTGACTAAACCATTAATAAGAGAAAAGAGATGAGACAATACATGGAGTGACTAAACCATTCTCATTGATGAGAGAGAGGCTCTACTTTCACAACTGCAAGTTATGACTGAAAGTATGCAGAAACTATTGGAGAAGAATAGCTTGCTTGAGGAATCCCTCTCTGATGCGAAAATTGAGTCTGAAGGTTTGAGGACTAAATCAGATGATTTGGAAGAATGTTACAAATTGCTAAATGATGAGAATAACAATCTTATAAACACTAGTGCAGAAATGACTTTTTACATCGGGCGAAACTGACTTTTTACATCGGTTTTGGATTATAACGACCATTTTTTCATAGCTTTCCAACATCACATAGACCACATCTAGGTCGATATTTTCATATTTTTCACAACAAACTTACAAAATGAACAATTGTATTGCAAACTTGTATTGTATCACAACAAACAAACTCACAACAAACTTACAAATATATATTCTTCACAAAACATACAAAAATATTCAACTATTTATAAGTCTTTTTCCAAACTTGAATTACCAATATAAAATCCACAAGTAGATGAGTTATAGCTTCGGTAGACAACACCAAAATCACATTGTCTGACAATAAATAATAACAATTAACATCAGCAAAAAATATCAAGAAACTCAATACATGTGCAAAAACCACATGTAATGTGCAAAAACTCAATAATAACAATTATGTGCAAAAACCACAACTTAGACAATTCTATAAAACTCACCAGATAAACTTAATTTTTATATAACTCAGAGAAACATTTTGCCCAACGGAGTCGCAAATCATACAAATCATCTTGTGTTAATTCTGTTGTATCATCAAATACCTATAATACATAAATATAACAATATAAAGTTATTCTTTAAAAATTCATATTAAGTCGAAAAACAAAAAGTAAATAACAAAGTAAAGTTATTTTTATTACCTGTATCCAATTCTCGGTTATATTGGCAGAGACAATATCCAACATATTTTTCATCACATAGTATCCACAATCATTAGAGTTATGTTGTTGCCTTGTCTACAATTGAATGACATAATTAGTGAATATTTATCATAAATTTAACTATAGAATTACAATTTACATCACACTTACATTGGGATGAAGCCATGTAGCCTTTTTTCTATTTCAATTTGCCATTTGATGAATCCCAAAAGAACTAATACAGAAAGATAAACATCACATAACTAAATTTACTCGCCAATGAAAAATCACATAACTATTAATTGCCAATGAAAGTCACATGAAAGATAAACTTACTTTGTAATAATTTTCTTCGTGTTCTGGTCAATTTCCCGATGAAGTGAACAAAATACGACAACTAAATTGTCTCTTGGACACATGACTATTAATTGTCAATGTCTCCTGTACGTGTGAGTGGAAACAGAAAAGTCACATAAAATATATATGTTATCAAAATTAAATAATATAAAACACAATTTCATAAAAATTCTTACCCATGAATTAATGGTAGTAAGTGGCACACTCTATTTTCATCACGTAACTTTTCTAGTACGTAATTTTTAACATCCTCTTGAGATTTCGCTCCATTATCATTATAAATACACCTAGCAGGGTCCATAAATCCATATAATTCTGAAATAGAATTCTCAAGACATACACGATGAATATACCTGAATAATTTTAAAATAAACATTAGAATCAAAGTGATGAGAGATATAACATATTAATAGAGATTGACTTTAATAAAACAATAAAATGTACTCACGTGCACCAAATTTGCAGAATAGACACGTCAAGACAATGACCTAAATCCACCAATAACTCTCTGATACACTTAGCTGAAATATAAAAATTAGAGACACTCGCACAATGACTTAATTGTATTTCCAAATGGTTATCATCCATTTTCAAAACCATGAGTAACAACACTCCTTCCTCCCACAACACTCTTAAATCATCAATCAGTGGACTTAGATAAACGTCTATGCCATTTCTTGGTTGTTTTGGGCCCGATATCATCATCGATAACATAATATATTTACGCTTCATGCACAGCCTATGAGATAGGTTGTAAATCATAAGGAGAACAGGCCAAGAACTATGGTTAGTACTCAGATTACCAAACAGATTCATTCCATCAGTAGCAAGTCTAAGTCTAAGGTTTCTCGACTCTTTGCCAAAATTTGGAAACAAAGAATCTATTTTCTTCCATTGCAAAGAATCAACTACATGATGAATTTGTCCATCATATTTTCTTTCTTCTGCATGCCATCTAAGATTCTTTACGTCATCTGCATTTGTGAATAATCTCTTGAACCTTGAAATTATTGGTAGGTACCATACCACTTTCGCAGGAGGACCCTTTTTGACAACCTCATCATCAATTGATTCACCATCTTTCTTTTTGTAGCGTGACGCCTTGCACTTCAGACAATGATTATAGTTTATACTCTTTTCTGTATAATATGCAATCATTAGGGCATGCACGTATCTTTTCATACTCCAAACCCATCGGACACAATATTTTCTTTGCCTCGTAATAATGACTTGGCATTACATTACCTTCTGGAAGCATTTCGATTAACAATTCAAGCAACTCGGTAAAACTTTTGTCAGTTCACTCATTCTTTGCCTTCAGATTAAATAATTTTAACACGGCTGACAGACGTGTAAATTTTTTGCATCCCGGGTACAATGGTTTATCCTTGTCACTGCATAGAGTATCATACGCATGTGCCCTCTTAAACGAATCTTGTCCAATATCACGCATCATGTCTTCTAGACGATCATCCATTTCTACACTAACATCATCTCTTTGAGACACATTTGACTTTGCTACTACTTCACCGTGTCATATCCATTTTGTATAACTTTGACAAATCCCTACACAAATAGATGATCCATGATTTCTTTCTTACTACGTTTTGGTTCTTTATTTTCACAACGAACACATGGACAGAGAAAAAGCGTAGGAAGACTTTTTTCAACATTACTTTCAGCAAACTGTAGAAATTCCGTCACTCCATGTGCGTACTCGTCACTTAATCGATTAGCTCTCATCCAACTACGATCCATAACTATGTTCACATGGAGGAAGGTCTGACGAAAGGTGTGCCCGCGGCTGCGCTACTTCACGGAGATTCCGAGATTGCAAGTTGCGCTGCTTCGCGGAGAAAGAAAAATAGAATCAAATTT